GGGCGCCTCAGGGCAGAGAGAGGGGGAGCTGCCACGGGCGGGGGGGCGCCTCAGGGCAGAAGGGGGGCAGGGAGCTGCTGCAGGGCTGGGGTGGGGGCACAAGGTGGAAGTTTCGCTTAGGGCGTGAAACTTCCTTGCACCGGCCCTGCATGCCAATGTATCATTTCAATACATCGGTTCAAAAGCTTGCCCATGGTCACAAAGTGAGTCCGTTGCTGCCAGAGCTAAGGACAGGACCTTGGAATTCTGACTCCTCACGCTTTGCTCTGACTAATATACCCCTTTATTTCATAGGTCAAAGGCAAACTTCTCCCTCAATTGGACATCAACAATACTTATCTGGAATCAGTCTGGCTCACCGGTGTGTTAGTATTGTTATAATTCTATTACCTATTTTAAGAATGTGTCTAGTGTTTAGACTTTATTGAATGCTTGTGAGTTGCTACATGCATATGTGACCTTCCTACCTTGAAACCAGCTTGTTTCTCTTTAATCACACTGTTATTTCAAAATGTCCTTCCATTTGAGCTTTATTACAGCTTCTAATGCTTTGCCCTACAACTGCTTTTAGTTTTACGTATACAAGTATTAGATGATACAAATCATGTAGTATAGGGCTTCTGGTATGGGGGGGGCGGCTAGTTTAATTTTCCAGGTTCCTTTTTTAGCAATTTTTGAGTTTTATATAGATGTACAAAACTCTGTATACGCTGTCATGAGTAATCTCTCTGTTATGTTCCCTAGTGTGCTTCAGTGTAATGTTATTTCAAAAGCACTATCTTAAAGCGCACTAGGGAACCTTTAGTGTGCACCAGCAAGGTCGACACAGACCAATTAATGCACAATCTGCGAGTGTGCTTTAGAAATTGCATCCCCATAGTCTGCCTTACTGCTCTGGATAGACAAGTCCTTGGATACAAATGACCATATCTGTTTTTCCCCCCTGTGTTTATTCAATAAACACCTATGTCAGATATTTTTTTAAACAGGGGTGTTTTATTCATGTTTATGGGTTAAAACTGAAAATCAGAAGCCTATGTATTAATACAACACAGTGTATCAGTACAGCATTTACAGTTCACCAAATCATAGAGAGCTATACTATATATGTCATATACATTACCCCACATGCTTCACAAGCAGTATATTCAGGGCCAGTTTTTAGGTATTGCACTTGCCTTACCCGCTCCCATGGGGGAGGGAGTAAGGAAAGGAGGAGGATATGCCATTGGTCTCAATGGGACATATTGGATGTCAAGTGCTTTTGGTCACTTCATTTAGGTACCTCAATGGGAGTTGCAGGCTATTGAAAACCTGGCTCCTATGTGAGTGTTGAGCATTTTTGAAAAATTATCCCATTAATGATAACACGCACATAGCTAACAAACAGCACTAACGTACAGCCACATCTGGGGTGACCATGTACCTGTCAGCAAGAATAACTTTGACAGACTTCAGGGACCGAGGGGATACTATGACTTCAGACCAAGGAAATAAGATTGTCTGGGCAAGGAAATCAGAGTTTCATGCTTAATAAAACATGTTGTAAACCCCTCCTCGCTGTAATAATGGCTGCTATTATTTGCAGCGCTGCTGGTGCCTGGCTTTGAACAGAACGAACTTGAATTGTAATTTGGAGCAAACACTGTGTATTTCATCCTAAAAGTGATGGAGTTCTAATTTCATGCTCTGAACAGTTTTATTCGTAACAATTTCTTACGTTTATAAGGCCGTCCATTCAGTAAGTGCTTTACAAAGTGAAAAACAAACGACGGCTACCTTTCAGATGGGGGAGTGTTTCCATCTAGCACATTGGCTTGTCCTAGAAGATGTCACATCCAAACAATTAAGCAATCTACTCCAGTCATCTAACAGGTTCCCAGCACAAGGCAATACAAGAGCAGTTTTGAGGTAGCTGCTCACCAGGGCAGTTTCAGTTAGCATGAGACAATGTCTTCTGTGTTAGGGTCAGATTATACCATCATAAGAACAACCATACTGGGTCAGACCAAAAGTCCATTTAGCCCAGTATCCTGTCTCCCAACAGTGGCCAATTCCAGGTGTCCCAGAGGGAATGAACAGAACAGGGAGTCATCAAGTGATCCATCCCCTGTCGCCCATTCCCAGCTTCTGGCAAACAGAGGCTAGGGACACCATCCCTGCCCATCCTGGCTAATAGCCATTGAGGGTCCTATCCTCTATGAACTTATTTAGTTTTTTTTTTAAACTTACTCCTTTTTAATACCTTATTCACTGAGTAGCGGACTACTCAGTGAGTCAGGTACTATTCAGTGAATGTGCAGATGGCCGACTCTGCTGCTTTAAGTAGGTTGCTTGTCTATAAAGGCAAATCCATCATCATAATTAAGTAAAACAGATAACAAAATTGGACCAATATCGTTTCTGCCTTAGGCTGCAGAAACTGAATTTCATTATAATGGATTCTTTCGTGTTGATGGACAATATTTGAAAGCCTGCCTGTTCAAAAATATTTCTGCAATACCGGATGAGCTTTTAAAAACCTTCTTAAAGTGACTGAAGGGGCTTGCTCAGAAGGAGCGAGTCTGAGATGGTTTCTGGGATTTCACAACAGTTTTTGTATTTTGCTCAGATTTGAGAGTCTCTATTTAATGCTCTCATGCACCTGTGGGACTACAGCCTACGTGCACCACCTGAATTTGGGTTTCCCTGGTAACAGGTGATGTGTGACCAAAAGATACCAGCTGCCCAGTCCAAAAATCAACTCCTTTGCAAGTGCTGAACAGTATTTATGTATTTTATCGTTGTAGCAACTGTGATGTGTATGACACTTTACAGACATGGTCCCTCAATGGGAGAGTTTACAACCTGCCAGCTATATTATACCTGCTATGTCCTGTGTGTGTTGGAGGCTTGGCAATGCAAACTGAGCAGGAAATGAACAGGAGTACTTGTGGCACCTTAGAGACTAACAAATTTATTAGAGCATAAGCTTTCGTGGGCTACAACCCACTTCTTCGGATGCATATAGAGTGAAACATATATTGAGGAGATATATATACACACATACAGAGAGCATGAACAGGTGGGAGTTGTCTTACCAACTCTGAGAGGCCAATTAAGTAAGAGGGAAAAAAAGTAAATTTGTTAGTCTCTAAGGTGCCACAAGTACTCCTGTTCTTTTTGAGGATACAGACTAACACGGCTGCTACCCTGAAACCTGAGCAGGAAATATGTCTCCTGTCTCCTCCTCCACTCCCCATTTCTTGGCTTTGTTATTCCTGATCTCAGGAGTACCCGTGGAAACCTTCTTAGTTTGCTTAGGAGTTCAGTAAAATTGTAACTCAATCTCTTCTGCTCCTTTCCTAGCCAACTGTTCACTCTCCCCAGTAAATCCAAGACATTGTTCATTATTTGCAAAGATTGCATTGGGACTTATTTTGTCCGATCTTTCTTATTTAGCTATTGTGTGTGTTTGCCGACACCCGGGAGTCTATATATGGAAGTGTTAATGAGAAGACATTATAGAAACACTTTATCATTAATCTTTTAGAATTGTGGAAGAATCTGCAAAGAAAAGAATACTATAATTTCCATAATTACTGATGTGGTTCTAAAGAACGATTTTCTGTAGCTCATCAGGTTAGGGGCTGACTGAGCAAGGTAGGTTGTGTATGAAAGAACATGAAGCAATGAGAGATTAATTCCATGTGTCTCTCCAAAGATCACAGGTTATCGGAGAGTGCTAAAACATTCCCCCCCACCCACCCCCCAAAAACAGTTATCTAAATTATTAAGCAGACACAATATGGTTTGTTGGCAGGTAATAGAGAACACTCATAATTGTGAAATATGAAACTTGCATGCAGCAGACAACACTAACCTGTAATTTACAAAGCCTTCCTTAAAATTTTCTTCTCTTCTTTTGCATATTATTGTCTGATATCCAGAAGATGGGACTCTTCACATAGACTGGATCATGCATCTCTAAAAATCCTAATTCAATGTAGGTGCCTAACTTTCTTCAAGGTCATATGGCAAGTCAGTGACTGAGGAAGGTTGCTGTGACTCTCGGTGTCATTATTTAATCATTAGACCATCTACCTTCCCATGTATAGATACAGCATAGTGTATGCAAATTCTTCTCCAGTAGATCATTCAAGGATATTTTCACCATTACGCAGAAAATCCGCTGCAGACGCCGTTCAACTTTTGGCACCATGCACTAGGCTACTCACGAAGCTTCGTTTCGGCCTAGGAGCTTTGCAAGACCGAAACTCTGTTTCTGCAGAGATTAGAAGGTGCCAGGGCTGTGCACTGAAAGACACAATTCGTCTTTGGTCAATTGGAAGTTTTGTTTAAGCAGAGTTCAGTAGATCAGGGTTACACTATATTTAGCAACTACATCTTTTAACAGCTTTATGCCCATGTCCAGCTAATGCAGCCAGTAATTTGTCTTCCTCCGGAGACCTATTAACCTGCAATGTAAATACAACTTGAATTGCTAGCATTGGGCTTGGCTCATTCATAATGAGTATGAATAGAGATGTGCGGATCTGAACGAAGTTACATTAAAGAGAGAACGCAGAAGGAACTAAAATCAATTGGCAGTGGGGAGCGGCATTTTGACAATAAGAAAACTCATCCATCAGAGGCATGACATGCCTGAATAAAAACTTTTTGGAACTCGAGTATGGAGCTGTAATTGCTTTTTTTTTAAAGATTAAACATGCATACAAATAAGCCTCAACAAACCAAACAAACAAAGTTTGTGACACACAGCCTTGAATAAATAAAGGGAACAGTGGAAAGCCCAGGAAGACAAGTTGATTCAGGTGGAACACAAAAGAAAGAGGTAGAAAGCTTTTGATTTGCAATAAATAACGTAAACCTTAGTGCAAAAGGCATGTGGGAAAGATCAGGAGACACCTCACCTCACCGCAAAAGTACAATGCGTGCTGAGAAGATACAAGATGGCTGTGAAATGAGATAATCAAATAATGGAAGGAAGAGCAGAGAAATGGCAACTTATGTGCAAAGGAAAAAGTGGTTTAAGAAAATACATTCTGTTCAGATTAGGTTTACAATCCATAACATGCAAGAAGAACCTGCAGTTGGCTCTCCCACATCCTAGGTGAATGCTCTAACCCATTCTAGAGTCCTTTTCATTTTTTTCTCTTTGCCCAATAACTATTTGTTGTCATTCCTAGGGACAATTCAGAGTGATTCATGATATTTGGTTTTTTGTCAACATGCCTGAAAATCAAAATGAAAAAATGTCAAGTCAAAACATTTTGGTAATGTCAAAGGGAAACATTTCATTTGAACCCAAGTTATTTCCAATGTCTCAATTCACCAAAAAATTCTGAAAGACGTAATTTTTGGTTTGACCTGAAATAATTTTTGTTCAGTTTGTTTTTTGAAAGACCAGTGAACTGAAAAATCCATCATTTGCCTAGCTCTACTCCTAAACCAATTGGGCAGGAAAATCCCACCCCCAAATGGTAGCGGAGCTTTTTTGAAAAACTGACCACTTATTTCAGTTCCTGAATGGGAGCTGAGCTCTTGGGGAAAGATTTTCTTCATATTTGTTTTATTTATGACTTTTTATTATTTATTTATTTTATTTATTTTATTATTTATGACCGTGACTTTTTTTATACGTTACTCGTGTTAATTTCAGTGGGGACTTCTGCATGCAGATTGGGAGCAGGATATTAACCACAATGTGCATATACATGTCTGAGTCACATGTAACATGGGAGAACTTGTGATGAGGCTCTATGGAGCGGGCTGGCTGGCTGGACTACATTTCTCATGATGCACATCACTTTCTTCCTTCTTGGGGAGGGGAGGGAATGCAGCATAAGAGTCCCAGGCAATGGTGCATCATGGCAGTATGGTCTGGCTAGAAAGCCCAGTCCAGAAAGGAAAATGAAAGCAGAAGGCAACCAAAATACAACTTTCAGAAAGCACTGCAGTGCCATGTTGAATCAAAATATTTTGGTTTTCAGGTATGCTGGGTTTTTACATAATATCAAAATTTACCTCAGAAAGCAGACACTTTTTTGTGTGTGTGCAAAAGATGCTGTTTCATCAAAAACACAATTTTCTGTTCAGAAAGTTAGAGGGAAAGCTTTCAACCAACCTTAGTCACACAATATTTATGTTCCCTGACTGGATGAGTAACTGTAAGAAAGAGGGAGAAAGCGTGATCCGGAATAATAAATTTTAACCCTTGTGGATATTCATTACCACTTAGGGTACGTCTATACTTACCCGATGGTTCGGCGGCAAGCAATCGATCTTCTGAGATCGATTTATCGCGTCTTGTCTAGACACGATAAATCGATCCCGGAAGTGCTCGCCGTCGACGCCGGTAATCCTGCTCCGCGAGAGGAGTAGGCGGAGTCGACAGGGGAGCCTGCCTGCCACGTGTGGACCCACGGTAAGTACCTTTAAGTTCAAACTAAGATACTTCGACTTCAGCTACATTATTCACGTAGCTGAAGTTTCGTATCTTAGTTTGAACTGGGGGCTTAGTGTGGACCAGCCCTAAGTGAACCTCACTTCTATTATGTCTCTTCTGACTTCACTCTAGAGGGGAAAATCATGAATTAAGTATTAAACAAATGAGCTGCTTCATCCCACAGGTTGACAGATGAAAATGTCTGACTCACTGTATGTCTCCTTCACAGGCAAAGGCCAAGTCATGTTTTGGAGGAGGCAAATGTTATGCCACTCATTTTACAGAAGCAGACTCTCTCTGTGTTGTCAGCTTCAAATGTAACTCAGTTTTCTATGGTATATTCAATATAATATGCCAGCAATTCACTAGAAAGATTTCCCCCTTCAGTTGGCAAGGCAGCATAATTTATGGAGTAAAAAATATTGATTTGGAAGATGAAAAACACCTCTTCAGTAGTATGTACTATTGCATTAGTATTAAAGATGTCAACATTTGAGCTGTTCAGCTCTCTGTATGAACCTTGTTCTCAGTTCAGTACAAGCAGTTATCTGGATTCCTCTAAGGCACTGCTCTTAAGTTTTTGGGTTTTCTGATAATTTGGGGAAGAGGAAAACAAAAACAAAGCACTCATTCAGAATCAAGGCTTTCCATAACACCTGTGGGAATGAATGAAATGCCCCAATCTCTTTGCAGATGCTGTTCCTGCTGCAAAATCATAGACTCATGGAAGATTAGGGTTGGAAGAGACGTCAGGAGGTCGTCTAGTCCAACTCCCTGCTCAAAGCAGGACCAACCCCAACTAAATCATCCCAGCCAGGGCTTTGTCAAGCCGGGCCTTAAAAACCTCTAAGGATGGAGATTCCGCCACCTTCCTAGGTAACCCTCCAGTGCTTCACCACCCTCCTAATAAAATAGTGTTTCCTAATATCCAAAAGGATCAGTTTGGGTTCTGCTAATTCACACATTGCCCCAACTGCACATAAGGAGTCTTTGGGGAGAGCTGACCAAGTTTGGGGGCTGAGGAGGAATCCTGGGAGATGCCAACTCTCAGGAGGAGGCATGAGCTCAACTTTGTTACTTTCTTAATTTCATTGCTAAAAGCCAAACCCTAGGAAAGGGGGTGTGTTTGGACCATATAGCGTGTGTGGATTGTGCTTTAGAGTAAGCTGGGAAAGGCACCTGCTTTCAACTATATAACTGGCAGCCTCCCATCATTTATTATTATTACTTTTACCACAGTCACGGACCAGGACCCTATTGTGCTAAGCACTGCACAAACACAGAACAAAAATAAGTCCCTGTCCCAAAGGGCTTACAATCTACATATAGGACAAGAACGAACAGATGGATACAGACAGGAAAACTATGGTGGGCAGTCTGCCTAAAATCACCCCATCTTCTAAATTACTATTTTTTTCAATATATTTTGCTTTCATATTCAACTTTAGTTTTTTTTAAACCTGCTAGTTCGCTGCAATGTCCCAAGACCTGTCAGTACGAGTATTCATGACAATAATTAGCACTTCCATTGCACTTCACAGTTCCAAAGTGTTACACAAAAGTTTTTAAATCACTGTGAGGAAGATAAGTATTCTCACCACCACATTACTGATGGGCAATCAGACACCGTATTCCACACTCTAGTCTATATAAGTTCTTATACTGCACTCATCACTATAATATTGGAGTGCCTTCTAGGAATGCACTAAGCAACATGACTAAACATGTGTCACATGTTGTTTGTTCTCTCATCCTCTCTGACAAGGGAAGAAACGTGTGTACTGGAATGTTTTATTTTGGTAGGGTTTTAGGTTTGGTTCACTTTAATTTTTTTCTTAATATATAAGTTTCTATGTATTCATGCTCAAGAAGGCAAGTCAGAAGGTGCTGAGGTTTGTGATGGTCCTTTGTTCCTGGGGGAGTTCATTCCATAGTCTCAGTCTGGCCAGGAAAAAGTTCTGTGTCCTGCCCAGACAAACTTTACCGTGGTTGTAGTGAGTTCCATTATGCCGCAAGAGCAGAGTTGTCAACCACGGTGCTTCATCGCTTAGCATTAGATGGTCTTTTAGCTATCCTGAGCCCTCGCCATGGAGCACCTTGAAGATAAAGACCCAAAACCTTGAACTTGATTTGAAATTCTGTAGGAAAACAGTGTAGAGAATGGAGGACAGGTCTGATGTGCTCACAGTAGCTCATGTTGCTGAGGACACCATGTTGCAGTCACACTGCTCTCAACTACATTTGGTCAGTCTGGAGAAATTCTATTGAGACACACCAGAGGGGAAGGTCTAATTTGGAAAGGGATGTGGCCTGTTCCCGACCCACTAGGTGGGACACAGAGACTGCGGAGATTGTTCTCCATTTCCCCCATGCTGGCCAGTGATGAGGTTAGCTGAGTGAACGGCAGATTTGAGCCTCTATCAGAAGCGGCCAAACTGAGGCCTGTCGTGAACCTCTGAGGTGAGCAATTCCGCCAAAAAGTGCAGGACCCACCGAGGCAGAGGAGGAACTTTGTCACAATGGTTATAAGACAGGAATATAAGCACATATTGACCTGTTAAATGATTAATCTATTATTGTAGAGTTTATTAATATCTTATAAACTATTTGTCTATAAATGGCACCTTAATATAAAATGTAGTTTTTGTTTTAGGAAACTATGAGAACCTTGGTAGTTCTGCCTGATTTCAACTCAGAACAAGGCAAAACTTGCTTGATTTTTTTCTTAAAGTTTTGGGTTCATAGTCCAGCTGAGGAGGTGCAAATCCATAGGACCTGAAACAAAAAATGGTTCACAGATACCCATTTCTCCCAACTGAAACCAAATAGCATTGACAAAGCCTGACCC